AAAAGTAGTGTGATTTTGAATAAAATTTTGCGATGGTGGTTTGCGCAGTTGCGAGTTCAAATCTCGCTGAGATCAAGTTTAAGGTTCAAGGATAGATTGGGGTTTTGATTGATTGAATTCCAATATTTAACATAACAACAATGTTAACAGCATTGTGTTCCGGCAGTTCGAGGTAAGATAGCCAGTTCCTCTGTGGTTGAGGATTCCAGGTGAAGCTCGCTTCCACCTTCGGCCTGATCGGCACTTTCCATCAGGTGAGATGCAGATGATGTGTGCCGTGTGAAAAAAAATATTTAGACCAATCACAGGAGTTCTCAACGCGACATTTTTATATGAGTTAAGTACATAATATGTAGCACACGGCTTGACATTTCGGCTGCTATTTTACCCGTGTTTCTCTATTTTAGGTGGAATGGAACGTGAGTTTAAAATCTTATAAGTCATTTCAGAAATTACGAATTACGTTTTCTACATCCAAGTTACCTATAAGCAAACTTTACTTACTATTTGTTTTCAATTTAACTGAAATAAAGCTGCCCCGATTCAGATTAAGCCAAATTAACCAATGTTCTGGTTTCCTACTTAATTTAACAGCAAACATTAACTTTACAATCATTTGATGAAATCTCGAGCCAATGTTGCCAGTAGGAAAATAAATAAAAAACAATAAACAAATAAAATGCTCACTCCAACCCTATTAGCGCTTCTAGGAACAATTCCAATTTCAAATTTGAATTTTTGAAAAGAGAACCGCGCGCCTTTTTATAGCGCAATAAAAGCGGCATGAAGAGTTTAAATTACTGATTATTATGTTATGGCACAGGTTTTCTTTTTTTTGGAATGGAGTAAGAAGTTTTGTGTCTTGGAGGTTAATTGTGTATGAACGTAGGCGCCATGTTTCGACTTTGGTTCATTAGAAGAAGTTCAATGACCGAAAGCTAAGCCAAGCTTGGCTAAATAGCGCCTGTGATATCTAAGTAGAGGGATATGAAGTCACTAGTCAGTTGAGGTACTTTTAAAATGTCAAAACGGTGTTTCTCCATAGAGTCTGTATAGAAATAGCTACATTTTAATGTCACTGATACCAACTGATGGAAACACTACAGAATTTTTATTAGCCGATAGTTTGGTTGGATTTTAATTTGTATGAGGAATCGGTCAATACCAAATCTGTGTAATGTGCGTTACTTCCATACATGTTGATTATTGTGATAAATATTTTTAAAAATCACTTCGACGGGTTCATCCAGTGTCTAAGTAGCTCGGATGGGAGAGCAGTCGCCCGGCAAGCGAAAGGTCGTGGGTTGGATTCCCACCTTAGGCAGTTCGATTTTTCCAAGATTGTTTTAAAAATATTTAGATCGAGAGGAGACTCTTAACGCCAGTAAAATTTTAATAATAATGTGATAAAATAGTCACTCATCTACCGTCTGTCCACAGCGTGGGTTGCTTAGCTTCGATAATCAAGTAATCACTACTTACTGCCATTCATCATCATCATCATTTCAGCCACAGGACGTCCACTGCTGAACATAGGCCTCCCCCAATGACTTCCACATCGCCCGGTTGGTAGCGGCCTGCATCCAGCGCCTTCCTGCTACCTTTATCAGGTCGTCTTACTACTTACTGCCATTCAGTGTCGTAAAAATATCGCAAATCTTTTACATTACGCAACTGTTTAAACAAACTTACTAAGGCTGAATTGCACCACCTAACTATAACGATAACCGGTGTGTTTTGTATGGTGTTTGACAGATTTTTGACGTTTGTTACAGTCAAAGTAAGAAGGTGCAACCCACCCTAAGTATAGTCGTTGGCAGATGATCTATTAAGTTTTGATTAGCAGTAACTTGACTTTATTTATTACACTCGTCTGCTACAAAATTTAAGTCTGAGTTTAGATATTCCAAAAGAGTACAATAGGACGAATTCCCGTGGATTTCGTAGAGGCGACTAACTATGGGACAAATATGCCTCCCCAACCCGTCTGGCCAGTGTAGGCCAAATCCTCCATTTGCCTCTGGTAGAGGGTCGTCCTCCTGCACGTTCTGCAGTAGACTAAATGACCTGATGACGAGTTTAAATTAAAAGCATAACTTTTTCTATTATCAAGTAATTGCTGAGATTATAACTCTGGTGTTATTTATTTACTTTTTATTTATTTAGTTTATTTAGAAACTCAACAGCTATATTACATTTTTAGAATAGACTTTACGAATTATTATTAAGTATAAGTATTTTTGTATAAATACAATGCCTGATTCTGGTAAACACACAATTGTTTTTTCATTTTATAAATTAAGTAGTATTGATTGATCAAAGAAGGAAGCGTACTTTATATGGAAGTATGTTGACATTACTTGTTGATTTACTTAAGTCTGAAAATGGTTCATAGTGTAGTACGCGTGGGTAGAGTAAGCTTTACCCATATAAGGTGCTACATCCTATTGCAACAATCCTTATTTATTTATTAATGTGAAGATTATTTAGGAAATGACTCTACAAAGAATCAACCAGGAAGGAACCATTTTTAGGAAAAATAAATTATTAATTAACCCTTCAAGTACCAGCGAATCGAGACGCAATAGAAATCAATTGTTACCGCGGTATCATGCCACAACTTAATTTATTTACTAATAGTTCCGTTAACCCCTCGTGACACGCTAAATTAGGCTTGTAATGAAATGAAATGAAAGTAGTACCTCCGTAGTCCCAATATGCGTAGAGAGAGCCTATCTGGAATTGAACATTCTGGGTTCGAGTTTTACGTTTTTATAAGTTAGTTCAAGAATTTAATTGAGAAAATAGTTAACACTATCAGTCAATTGACATACTTTTTATTAATTATCTTAACTTGACTCTACCATACATTTTGAATCGCAAAGCTTTCTTTTTCGTTCGCTAAATCAATTGAACAACTTTTTACTGATTTGAAGGTTACTAAATATCAAAATTTTCAAAGCAGTTTGAAAACTAACGGGTTTTCGGAGCTTTAATGAAGTATTTTATAAGTGTTTTATAAATAATTGTTGTCTTGCAAACCAACTTGGCGGCGCACTGTGGCAGACGGGGCAAAGAAGATCGGGAAGACTTGGAGCGAGATCAAACGCGAAGCTCAAGACCGAACGCGATGGAGGACTGTTGTGGACGCCCTCTGCCCCATCTAGGGGACATAGGACCTTAAGTCAAGTAAGTCAAGTGTCAAATACCCAATAATTGGATCTACTTTCTCGTAGCACTTCAAGACCTGCGAAAAGAGGAACAATAAAAAGTTCAATCATATTATGTGACCGCTTGGGGATTGATGGAGTAGGTAAGTATTCTGTTTCAGTGTTAGTCAGTCAATTTTTTTCCGAATTGTATTGACATAGAAAACTATTCCGAGAAGTACAGTGAAATATTTTGAGGCTACAATAGCCAATGATGTTAGTAGTAGTACATAATAGATTTCGGGATGTCGATTTGGGGGTTGATAATTCGAATCCCGTTACCGCTGAACTTTGGTGAACCCACTCTAACACAAGTATTATTAGAGGGGGACAACTAAGAGAACAATCTATGCCTCGTTGTCTAGTGGTTGAGGTTGGACTATCTTGGAGGGTCTCGGGTTCTATTTGCAGATAAGACAAACCAATTGAGGAATCAACTATGTTGTTGTTCCCAGTTTATTTAGGCTTCAATGAATCTGATTATTCGATAATAACATCACGCAACTTTTAAGGGCTTCCAATGGTAAGTATATTTCGAAAAACCAAATAAACGAATTTTCATTTTTCTTTAAGTGCTTTAAGAAGAGAAAGCACACTAAGCCATCGGTCTTATAGAGCCGTGTCAGACATATGTGGATAAAGTTTGTTAGACTGTTGTTGCAACCTACGGATAGAAGAAGAAATATGTAAGACAAAATAGTTTATTAGTTTTTTCATAGGTTCAACTTTAGGTTTCAACATAGTATTAAAAACTTAAGGAGTTAAAACAGTGTAAGAGGTAAATTCTCTTGCCTCTCCTTATGTAGGTTTATGTGCAAAACTACTTCCTACTATACTAATTTAAATACCATTTAAGAGGTACTCAAACTATGTGTTTTAATTGTTTAAGAACCAAAGTAAGAAATTCAGTAGGTACTCCACTTAAAATACTACAGTTAACAAACTCTACTTCAAAAAATTAAAACTTTTTATCCTTCACTTAGCCCACATTACAAAATTAGTTTTAAACTTCAATTATTTTAATAAATATTAGACATTTTGATGATAAATATACTTACTAATACAATAACTTTTACGTTGAATCATACGTAGTTCCATCGGTAAACTTAACTCTTTCTATTTAATCTTTTTTCAAGTGAAATGTTTCGCGTTACTGTAAAATACTCTTACAGAGATTCAGCTAAGATTAAAACTGTGGCCGATACAAAGAACGTTAGCTATACATACCTATGACATACAATGACATAAAACATGGCATATACATAAAAGTCAACACAACTACATAGAGTCAATATCCAATTGTATGACCGACAATGCGTATGCGTCCGTCACCACACAAAATCAAAGAAAGACACCGTCACTGATTTTTTAAAAAACACACAAAAAATTAAGCCCACGGCAAGACCCGATTGATAGCTTCTCGTCTCCGCACGTACTAAGTCGGCTGGGCGTGGTTACTAAAACAGGTTAGCGAGGAAAGAGCACCGCCAAAAAATAGCTATAAAAAACATAATGGCTACGGTGGCGCCGACCGATCGATCGACGGCACCAACCCAGTCCCAACGCACGTACGAAACGAAAAAACTGCGGTCCCACTGTTAACCAATCGGCGATTGACTCCACCTTACGAGTTACCCTCCTCTGTCTAAGCCACGCCTGTGTAGCGATCACAGCGCCACTGACTCCATACAAGTGGCGGATTCCGGAACTAATTAGAGCGAGAGCGCGCTACATTGGGCCGTTCGTTTCTCGGACAATTTCATCCAACCGGTCATTAAGTGTTTAAATTCTACGAGAGCTGGTTGTGTCGGGTTTCGGTGCAGTGGGGAAACGTTATTAAAATATCCACAAACATTAAGATAATTGCCCTGAATTCTGTGCTTGTGTGCGTTAGTGTTTTTTTCACTCGGCCACTAGCAAGAACGGTTTTTTCCGAACTGATGACTGTTATCACTTGTGGTGTGTAGTGTACGTGCGCCGAACGATTTGACTCGAAAATGACATCAGTGACGTGAATCGGGAGGTGAAAATCGGGAAAATTCGAAAATCCAAAGGAAAATGCACCCCACGTGCTTCGTAATTGTTCATTCGCACTGCACGGGCTAATTGATCGGCAATTATATCCCTGTCCCGCTCTCGCTAATTACCAACAATAATAATTTTGATTGCGCCTCCTCTAGTTACGATATAATTGATCCATTTTCAAATCAAACGAATCGAATGTTTCAATTGATCGAATAATTCAATTGGTTGTATCAAACTGAAAGTTTTTGAGTGCAAAAGACAAGTGTGTAAAACTAAGTGTCGTGACAATTTGTGTGAATATAATTTGTTGTGGATAGTGATATGCTGTGGTCTCACATTTGATTTTCGTTGAACCGTAAGTACCTACAATTTTAATTTTACGTAGGCCTCAATGGGTAAAATTTCTTTGAGTGTTCATATTTAAAAAATAATTCTGTTCCAAATTTGAAAAAAAAAATGGGAATAGAGACAAAACACGATGTGCAACAAAAATATTTTATTTTATGTAGGCACTGTAGGCAGGCCTCTCGATGGGTTAAATTCCTTTGAGTGTTCATATTTCAAAAAAATAATTCCGTTCCAAATTTGAAAAAAATTGAGTATAGAGACCAAACACGGTGCTGTGGGTAATGTTTAAGAAATTGCAATAATTTAACAATCCACTGGCTATTTTAAACTCTCAATCATTTTTTATCGACATAATTATGTTACGATAATGATTTGGTATTAAATAATTATTAAATTAATGAAGAATTCAATGTGATCTCCACTATTTTAGGCCTAATAGGAAACTTATAAGATTCGTAAAATGTTTAAATCATTCCTTGATCAATCTTCAATGGTGACACTATCCCGCAGTAAAAGTAACCTCACTCTCAGAGGTCCTGGGTTCGATTCCCTAGAGATGCACGCTATTCTATAACAGTGCAGGTTTATATCAACCTGAGTGACAAGTGTCTTATAAGAAAATAATAAGAATTAATATAAAAACTGTCAAATATTGAAATGCTCAAAATGCAATTAGTAAAACACAATATTCTTTGTATTCCTGTAATTTAAGAAGAGGTAGGAAATAAATTAAAAGTTACCATAAAATTTAATGTTATAGACTAATTTTTAATATGTTGAAAAATATTAAAGTTATTATTGAACATGAATACGTTTAGTACGCTTCACTGAACTTTTTGATAAAAAAAAATTAAAAGTAGTAGGTACCTACATTTATTTATAATTATAATCACATGTAAATGTACTAAGTAATGCACTAAAACGGTTACTTTCAATGTAACTTTATCGGCAAATATTTTTATGACACTGGCCACGCATAAACGAATGCTACGGGTAAAAGAAAAAAGTTATTTAGTTTTCTTTTTCTTTGGCTTTATTATTTTGGCACAGTAAAGTATTTTAATTTTGCCCATTAAAAATGCCTATCTAATACTCTTGCCAAACCGTCATCTTTTAATATACGAGTACTTGAAATGCTTAGGACTTCTTGGCGGGAAAGTTAAGCGTCATGTTCAGCAATTTGTTTTATTTTCTTTTTTTAACTGTCTTTATAAATATCTTGAAAAAATCTAACTTCCTAAGGCGAGAGTCGAACGTACTTTATTATTTTGTCCAGAAAAATGACAGTTCCATCGAATATGATGATGATGATTCTATTATTTTGTAAGAACCTTTATCCTACGTTTTTTTAACCACATCACGTCAGGGAAACTTGACCCCTGCTTGGTTTCGACAGACTTGGTGTATTTTCTTTGTAAATACAACCTACATAGTTTTTAACTCGTGGAACCCGTGTTTGGATTTGCTGGTGCTTGAAATGTAGGTATATTCATTATAACTTAATATTATATTATACAGTCATCTTTGACTCATTCTTCGATACGCAGAACCACGGTCATTTATACATAAATAGCTTTCCGCCCGCGGCTTCGCCCGCGTGGAATTTTGTCTGTCACAGAAAAACTTTATCGCGCGCGTCCCTGTTTCAAAAACCGGGATAAAAACTATCCTATGTTCTTTCCCGGGACTCAAACTATCTCTATGCCAAATTTCATCAAAATCGGTTGCGAGGTTTAAGCGGGAAAGCGTAACAGACAGACAGACAGACAGACAGACAGAGTTACTTTCGCATTTATAATATTAGTTGGGATTACCTTTCAAATTGGTATCGTCCTGTATATTATACAGCAAAATAGTTTTTCTCTTATAATAATTATTATAGACAACCTGACCTGACCTCTTGACCATAAATAAGGTAGATAAATAATTCTAATTCTGTAGAGCTCAAAGTTTGACTGGGAGAGAATGCCAGACTTGAAGTTCGCCTTTTGTACCGATTATTATATTAAGACCCGTATTCACAAAAGATGCTTGCTTAAGTGAAGCAGCAAATCGAACGCACAGCGTTGAATAGAGCTCTGTGATTGGTTCGTGTGCCACCCTGTGCGTCCACGCGCATTGTGAGACCTCATAATGTTTGTTAATACGGGCGTTAGAACGTTATAAAAACTTATTTTCAAAGTCAATAAACCAATTTTTTCTTCAAATCAAGAAAATCTGAACTACAAATACAACGGCACGATAAGTTAAACACTACGATCTTATGCCAGTTGTAATAGAGTCTGATTTTGTACAAAAATGTATACCCTGATAAGCTGTAGATGGTACTAAAGACATATCCTATCCTAATCCTAACTAATATTATAAATGCGAAAGTAACTCTGTCTGTCTGTCTGTCTGTCTGTCTGTCTGTTACGCTTTCCCGCTTAAACCTCGCAACCGATTTTGATGAAATTTGGCATAGAGATAGTTTGAGTCCCGGGAAAGAACATAGGATAGTTTTTATCCCGGTTTTTGAAACAGGGACGCGCGCGATAAAGTTTTTCTGTGACAGACAAAATTCCACGCGGGCGAAGCCGCGGGCGGAAAGCTAGTAAAATATAAATTGATGCAATCCGAATATGAAATCGATATTATTATTTCGATTGATCGTAAACCAGTTTTATTACGGCAATTAATACAAACCGAGTTTCCACAAAAGTGTAAAGTTCGTATACAAATCGATGTTAATTAATCATTAATAGAGTTAGGGTACGACCACATTAACCCTTGATATCAAATAATAATTATAAGGGGCTCGTTCACCATCTCTGAGTAAAGTAGGCTACTCGTTGCTTAGGCTGGGTTACATCATCTTACTTTAACTTTGACAAACGTCAAAAATCTGTCAAACTCCATACAAAAAACACCGGTTATCGTTATAGTTACTGTCAAAGTTAGGTGGTGCAACCCAGCTTTAGAGTAGGCGCACACCGTTGATTTTTCGTCGGCCGATAGTTTAGTCGGGCAGTTGATCAGGATGGGCATGTATGGGAGTGCGCACACTACGCCGATTCGATTTGGCCGATTCTTCATACAATTTAAAATCGGGCACAACTATCGGCCAACTAAAAATCAACGGTGTGCGCCTACTCTTAAAGTCACGAGTAGCAACAAACTTTTCGGCCTCGCATGAAAGTGCGCACATTAGTACACTGATTTGGTATCGGCCGATTCATCATGGCCGACCAAACTATCGGCAGATAGTGAAGTTGTCTGCGGGGATTATAAAAGATGCACATAATATTCCTAATGATCATCATGAGGTCATTTAGTCTCCAGTGCAGGAGCACTACTCTCTAATTTACCAGAGGCAAATGGAGGATTTGGCCTACACTCCCCACGCTGCCCAGACGGGTTGGGGAGCCTATTCTGATGATTCTAGTTAGTACATTACTATAACTGAGACATCATCTTTTACTCACTTTAAATATCTTTTTCATAAAGGCTACTAAACCTTTGTTTGTCACTTGTCATCCGGTTTGCAACGGAGGGAAGTCGAACCTTAGCTTCGAACTCCTCCTATGTTCTTCTGATTAATTTCTTTGCGGGTCCAATGACAGTTTAACTTTCCCCCGGGACAAACTTGGCCTTAACTGGTTGGGTTGTTGACGGTCAAGCTGTAGATCCTGGCTACACAGGAGTTGCAGCGGTGGGAACGAGAAGTGGGAATAGTCCCATAACTTTTTTAAATTCGCTGTGTGGTTGCCCCCTTAATAGTTATGGTGGCTTTTAATATTTCATGTGGGAATGCCACATACATATACATAACTAACTGCATGTTTATATGTTTATAGTTTAACATGCGATGTGAGTGGCCATTTTTTCAGGCCATAAATTGATAGGTATGTGACAAAAGTACTCTTTAAAGGAGTTTGTAAATTACTTACCTAAGTTTAATTTAGTATAATATTGAGGTAGATACTAGCTTTTGCCCCTGGCTTGGCCTGTAAATTTCAGTCTGCCACAGTCTTTACCGCGTGTTTCCTCATTTCAAAAACCGGTACAAAAACTATCCTGTTTTTCCCTGGGTCTCACTACATATTTCTAGGTACCTATACCACATTTTATCTAAATCGTTTCAGTGGTTTAAGCGTGAAAAGGTAACATTGGTCAACAAAGGTTATGGATTCCCTATATCATTTTATTTTCCTCTAATATTGCTACTTACTTCTTCTTCGTCGCTACACTCTTGCCAGAGTGGTCGTGGTCGTCAGGGTCACACCCGGTCCGGTGGCAAGCCTCACAATCCGTCGCCATTCCTCCTGCACTGCAGCCTTTCTTGTGCACTCGTGGAGTGGACCATTGAGTGCGGTTTTGATATGATCACTTACGCTACTTACTACCGCACACACTGACAAAATTTAGCGTGGATTAGCGGTGAGGTGCGCTGAATTTTGTCAGTGTGTGCGTGCGCGCCGCATACGTATTGGCGCGCTCACATACAAACCGCGCTCGGTGCGTTTCTATGAAGATGACCTACTCATTTGTATTTACTCTGTTACTACTAACTTCCAATAAAGTTACACATAATAATATGGACTGTCCTACGTAGAGTACATAAGATTCGTATCAAACAAAGATGTCCACTGCTGGACAAAGGCTCCAAAGATTTCCACAAAGACCAGTCCTGCGCTGCCCGCATCCAGGTGCTTCCCGTGACTAGTAAATTCTTTAAATAAATCCTTTTTACAAAGGCCCTTTTCAAGGCACTTATACACGTCCCGAATATAGCTTGCCCTACCACCACTTCGGGACAACATATGGGCTGGTGCTGAGAAGAAGTGGCGGAAGAAACTCAGTCACTTTGGCTTTAAAAGATTATAAGAATTTGATGTATCTTTTCCCAACTTTTGTTTTGTCATCTGTCATCCGCTTTGCACTGAAGGGAAGTCGAACCTTAACTTCGAACTCCTTCTATGTTCTTCTGATTAATTTCGTTGCGGGTCCAATGACAGTTTATCTTTC